GATAGCCACTGGCTTATAATAAAGTTGTTAATTCTGTTTACTACCATCAGATAGTAGACAGAAAATAAAATCAACAGAATTAGATCAGAGTAAAGTAATTCATTATATTAATTAAACCGTGTTAACAAAAATAGTATTTCTTAATTCTCCTGGCACTTATAAACATTCTGGAATAAAGTCAGAAATACCGAACAGGTAGGCTTAGTTACATACTATAAAGGAAACCTGAATTTATTATGGCAAAGCAGTAAAGATTCCCTTTGTTTTAAGCAAACTTAATACGAAGAATTTCAGATTTGTAGGCCAGAAAAATCTTGAGGCCCTCCCCAATATTTCTTTTCTTTTTTTTTGTTTGTTTGAGACAGAGTCTCACTCTGTCACCCAGGCTGGAGGGCAGTGGTGAGATCTCGGCTCACTGCAACCTCTGCTTTCCTGGTTTAAGCAATTCTCCTGCCTCAGCCTCCCGAGTAGCTGGGATTAAAGGCACGTGCCACCATGCCTGGCTAACCTTTTGTATTTTTAGTAGGGACGGGGTTTCACCATGCTAGCCAGGATGGTTTCGATCTCCTGACCTTGTGATCTGCCCACTTCAGCCTCCCATAGTGCTGGGATTACAGGCGTGGGCCACCGCGCCTGGCCCCAATATTTATTTTCTATAAACTAAAGTCAATACTTCAGATTGTTAAGGTGGAAGCAGGCAAACGAAATACTCTTCAAAAGATGGGCCAAGATGGTTCAGCTTCTTAAAGGCCTTTGACACATCAAATGAAAACAGAAACAAACAGGCTGAGTGTGGTGGTTCATACCTGTAATCCCAGTACTTTGGGAGACCAAGACAGGTGGATTGCCTGAGCTCAGGAGTTCAAGACCACCCTGGGCAACATGACTAAACCCCATCCTATAACAAATACAAAAAAGTCAGCCAGGCATAGTGGCGTGAGCCTGTAGTCCAAGCTACTTTGGAGGCTGAGATGGGAGGATCACTTGCGCACAGGAGTTTGAGGCAGCAGTGAGCCGAGATCACACCACTGCCCTCCAGCTTGGGCAACAGAATGAGACCTGGTCTCAAAACAAATAAACACCAAACCAGTAACATTTCCCTTATTATGCAGAATGTCATTTACAGATTTTATGAAACAGGCAACTAGTTGGGAAGGTTACATCTATTTACATATAATCATGAGATCCTCTTGGTGGTGGTTGCTTCTCTTACAGAAAGTCAATATATATAAAAAGCTGCAGTGGGCCATTTTAAAGGTGCTTTCACTAGAAGGCCAAACGTAGCCTTTCTCTTTCTTTTCCACTTACTTCTTTGTTCTATCCTGAGAAGAATATTCATTCTACTCTTAAAGTCCTGACAAAGTTAAGTAATAAAATACAAGGACATAATGGTACTGGTAATTATATCTTTACTTCTTTTCAAAGCTTAGGGCTTAAATGCCTACTATGTAGCTAATTTCTTGTCATTATTAATTGACAAGAGAATACTTCATCCACGAATTGCTGTTTTCTACCCAAATGGTAAACAAGAATCTTTAGGATGACCAAACTCACAAAGAGATTATCTCTCTATAACGGAGAAAGCAACTACAAGTTGTGTGTAGTCCTAACCAACAGTTTTCTATCCCTGGGAGTACTCAAAAGGAAACTCAATAAACAAACACAACATTAAAAACCTAGTAGATAAATATGGTACAACAGTATTCAAGCACCAGATGGTTGTACAATCTTTAATATCCCTTCAAAAACCCTGAGATTCTAACTACAATTTTAGTTATTTATTGTTACAGAATTGAATTTGAACCTCATTCCCAAAGACTTTGCTACAATTACAGTTACTATCATAACAAAAATAATGAACATAAGAATATATAATCTGCCATATCAGAGTATTTAAAATACAGATTTTAATTTTATTAAAGTCAATAGGAGTAATAGGTTGAATATAACGAATCATATCTTATAGTTAATTTCAAGGACTATTCCACAAATTGAAGAGTAACAATTCTTTTTTGCTTTTTTGGTATAACAACAAAGTCAGCAACATTTTAGATTGTTACAAGCATATTATACTTAACTCTTTCTGGGAAATTGGAACTGCAGATATTGACGTGATCAAGTTTTCTGGTGGAAGATTCAACACTCTGGAAAGCTAAAGATCAAAAAGAATAAAACAGTGCAAGATTGTTGACATATTTGTTCCATTCAATGGAATACCACTTGTAAGAATAAACTATTAATATGCTTAACACGAATGAGCTCCAAATGCATTACAAGTGAAGGAAGCCAGATTCAAAAAGGTACATAGTGTATGATTCAATTATTTGACCCTCTGGAAAACCCAAAATTCTAAGGATGAAGAATAAATCTGTGGTTGCCAAGGGTTAAGGGGAGGATTTGACCATGAATTAATAGAACCGTTCAGCAAAAAGAATGAATTTTACCTTTGTAAATTAAAAAAAAAAAAAAATTATGGCAAGCGAGGAGATAAACCACTGAGAATCCACAGATAATTCATTTTTTTTCATTAAAAAAATACTGAGTGGCTACTTAATGTGTCAGGCATTATTCCAGGTATTGGGGATACAGCAGTGAACAAAACAGATGGAAAAAAAATAAAAATAAAAAATAAAACCTCATGGCATTTACAAATAAACAAATAAATAAGTAAATAATAGGGAAAATCTGATCCCCATCCCTATCGAAGGCTTAATCATTAGAATAGTAGGGGCGGATGTGTTATATACACGTATTTTGTAGCACAGAGTCTTGCTATGTTGCCCAGGCTGGTCTTGAACTCCTGGCCTCATGTGATCCTTCCACATCAACTCCCCAAAGTTCTGGAATTACAGGTGTGAGGAACAGTGCCTTGCTGGATTTGTATTTTTTAAAAGCTCCTTGCACGACTCCTAATACATAGCCAGAGTTGTGAATTATTGCCCTAATTGGACAAAGTTAGGTGGAAGAGACATTCCCAAGTACTGAATGATTTATTTTTTATTTTTTTTGAGACGGAGTCTTACTCTGTCTCCCAGGCTGTAGTGCAGTGGCGTGATCTCGGCTCACTGCCGCCTCTGCCTCCCGGTTCAAGCGATTCTCCTGCCTCAGACTCCCATGTAGCTGAGATTACAGACGCACACCACTACGCCCGGCTAATTTTTTGTATTTTTAGTAGACACAGGGCTTTGCCATTTTGGCCAGGCTGGTCTCAACACCTCAGGTGATCCACCTGCCTCAGCCTCCCAAAGTGCTGGGATTACAGGCCAACACTATTACCAACTATTACCATGCCCAGCCGGATTTTTTATTTTTTATAGAGACAGTCTTGCTATGTCAACCAAGCTGGCCTCTAACTCCTGGCCTCAAGCAAACCTCCCACCTCTGCACCCCAAAGTGCTGGGATTACAAGAGTGAGCCACGGCACCAGTCCTGAATTATTCCTATGTGACAGGCATGTCTTAAGTGCCTTAATTTTTCCTGGCAACAATCCCAGGCTTTCCTACTATTTCAACCCTCATTTTATAAATGATGAAACTGAAGTACAGGGAATTTACTTAACTTGCCTAAGTGGAAAGAAAAGCTAGGATGTGAATACAGGCTATCTAAAACCAGAACCTATACTCAACCTCTATGCCATATTGATATGGTTTGGTTGTATTTCCTCCCAAAATCTCATCTTAATTATAGCTCCCAAAATCCCCACGTCATGGGAGGGACTAGGTGGAGATAACTGTATCACGGAGGTGGTTTCCTCCATCCTGTTCTCGTGACAGTGAGTTAGTTCTCACGAGATCTGATTGTTTCAAAAGAGGCTTTCCCCTACCCTTCGCACGACACTTCTCCTTGCTGCTGCCATGTAAAGAATGTGTCTGCTTCCCCTTCTGCAATGATTCTAAGTTTCCTGAGGCCTTCCCAGTCATGTTGAACTGTGAGTCAATTAAATCTCTTTCCTTTATAAATTACCCAGTGTCAGGCATGTCTTTATTAGCAGTATGAGAACAGAGTAACACACATATGTATATCCTTTCATTCAGAAATGCATAAAAACAAAATAGTGAAATAACAGCACTGCCAGTATAAATTTACAACTGTCTTCAAAATTTCCCCCACTTCTCCAATCCTCATGTAGCCTCTGCAAAAGACTACATGGCTGTAGAGTTGGGAAAAAGAAAAGGGAATGATGGGGGAAACAGAAAAAGTAAGAATGTAAGAAGAGTTTAAGAAGAAATCATCTTCAAGGGTATTTGTTCAGGAGAGCAATAAAATTAAAACCACTCTCTTGATTAATAACAACATATACTCTCCTGTTGTCAACAGAAGTTATTTGTTGAATTTCACAAACGTTATTAACTGTAAAAACTTGCCCAAACTTGCAGAGCTGGAGACATCACTTTCTTTAAGAGGCTTGTACATTTCCACTTTGGCTTGGTACAGATTGATTTTTTAAAGTTTCCTCTCAAGGTACAGTATTTTTTATTTTCTAGACTTTAGGAAGTAAATTACTGTATTCCTTACTAAAAAGTCATTTCTTTGGGATGTATTTACAGAAGCAGGTAAATATTCCCAAAGCAGTTATAGCATAGAGACTGAAACAGTTCATGTTTCTAGTACGAAATGTTTCCAGAATAGAGACATCAGTAATAAAGGTTCTATCGTAATTTCTCAGAAAAAAATGATCCAAATTCCAGTTCTATTTTTATTAGTTAAGAGACCTTGAGAAAGCAATTTTACATGAATGAGCTATAGTTTTCACAGCTGAAATATGGGGATAATGAATCTGTTAAACAATAAACTAGGGCTCTTGTGATGACTAAGAAAAATACATCATATAATAAACATGTAATAAATATTTCCTTCTCTTTTTAAAAAATTTTAGTTTATTTTGGACACATCTCCCAAACTTACCCATAATCACTAAGATTTTCTGTCTATCTTAAATATTACAATTCAGCTGAAAAAAAAACTTAGTGATTAGGTCAATTTCAAAGCATTTCAGTTGACAAACAGATTGTGAACTTGGGTAGCAATAAAATGCTTACATTCAAATGAACAACATGCAATTCTCTTTCAGAGAATTCTTTTGGCTAAACTAAAAGCTACTTAATAATTTCTTCTTTTTATTCCCCCCCAGAAACAGGGTCTCACTCTGTTACCCAGGCTGGAGTGCAGTGGCTCACGATCATAGCTCACTGCAGCCTCGCCCTCCTGGTGTCAAGCGATCCTTCCACCTCAGCTTCCTGAGTAGCTGGGACTCCAGTGAATTGTGCCACCATGCCCGGCCTCATGTATTATCTTATTATATTTCATTTGCTAAAAAAAAGCTCTGAGGGTGACTTAAGCACATAAAATTAAACGGAGGTATAAAATTATACCAGAAAACCCTAAGCTCAAGGTACTTACGCTTCTTGGCAATCAAGGTACAAAGGGAATCTATCTACACAGCATGTTTTATCCCTAGTAATATAGGGTAAACATATATATGTGTGTGTGTATAAACATATATATGTGTGTGTGTGTATAGACACACACACACACATATATATATTCAGTAAAGAGCAGGAATGAAGTTTTCCTGAAAGTAATTCTAAGACTACTTTCTCTTACTCATATTAAGATATAAATAACAAGACAGTAGTTTCAATAGCAGTTTCACAAAAGATACATGTACAATTAGTCTGTTCTTGTACTGCTCTAAAGACATAACTGAGACTGGTAATTCATGAAAAAGTTTACTTGGCTCATAGTTCCACAGGCTGTACAGGAAGCATGTATGGGGAGGCCTCAGAAAACTCAATCATGGCAGAAGGCGAAAGGGAAGCAGGCACATCTTACATGGTGGGAGCAGGAGGAAAAGAGCGAAGGCGGAGATGCTACACACTTTTAAGTCAGATCTTGTGAGAATTCTGTCATTGAGGCAGCACTAGGGGAAATGGTGCCAAACCATCAGAAACCATCCCCATGATCCAATCACCTCTCACCAGGCCCCACCTCCAACACTGGGAATTACAACAGAACATGAGATTTGAGTGGGGACAGGGAGCCAAACCATATCAGTACAGAAACATTCTTATATAATGTAAATTTTAAAACAAACAAACAAGAAAAAGGCGGTTGGGGTGAATACGGAGTTATTGTTTTATTTTATTTTATTTTTTTTGAGATGGAGTCTTGCTCTCTCGCCCAGGCTTAAGCGCAGTGGTGCCATCTTGGCTCACTGTGAGCTCCGCCTCCTGGGTTCACACCATTCTCCTGCCTCAGCCTCCCGAGTAGCTAGGATTACAGGTGCCCACCACCACGCCAGGCTAATTTTTAAAATTTTTTTTAGTAGAGACGGGGTTTCACCGTGTTAGCCAAGATGGTCTCGATCTCCTGACCTTGTGATCTGCCCACCTCGGCCTCTGTAGTTACTGTTTAATGGGTAGTTTTAGTTGTGCAAGATGAAAACTGTTCCACAGATAGATGGTGGTGATGGTTGCACAATGCCACCTAATGCCACTGAACTGTATACTTAAAAATGGTTAAGATGGCAAATTTTATGTTATGTGTATTTTTTCACAATTAAAAAAAAAAAAACATGAAGACTTCTGGGATAAAGTAGTGAATGAAAGCTTCTTCACATAATCTCCTGTCTTCAACCAACATCAAAAAGAAAAGGAAGGAAAGAAAGTAGAGAGCAAACAGGTAAGTAGGTTGGTTCTCCAGCAGCAAATACACAAGACAGGAAGAGCTCAAAGTCATAAACCTCAAAGGTGATAGTCAAGTAAAAATACAATAGCTTCTGGAGGAGAATGGAACAGCTCTGTTTGGCAAGGCTGACTTGGTCCTCATGTATCAGAAGTCAGAGATGAATTAACAATTCTCATTAACACCTCAAATCTGGAGAAAAACAAATTGAATAAATGCCATTATTTTTCCCTCTTGCAACTAGGAGATGCTGCCTAAATTGTGGGAAACAACAAGTAAGACAGAAATTCCAGCACTTTCCAGCAAAAGTAAAAATTCTAAGGTAACACACCAAAGGTCTTTCCAATGAAAACACAATACATTCTCCTGCTGCAGAAAGCAAACCATGATATGGTGTTGTGTGAGCAGTAAGAACCAAAGGAGCAGTTTTTACAGGAAGACAGAAAAATATCAGGGCTAGTTTGTAAA